TCTCTCTCTCTCTCTCTCTCTCTCTCCGCTGCAGAAACCCCTCCCACTTCTTCCACCATCAATCTCTCCAAATCTAATCGAAGATGTCGTCGTCATCATTGTCTCTCTCACCGCCACAGAAACCCCTTCAACTTCTCCACCATCAATCTCTTCAAATCCAATCGGAAAGGTCGTTATCATCGTCGTCGCCTCGGCTTCTCCTCTCTTTTTGTTCATCTTCTCTCCTCTTTGAATATCGAATCCCTAGTGATCTCTAGCTACCTTCTTCTATATATCATATTCACAGTCTCAAATCACACAGAGATAACGACTCACTCTCTCCTCAGATCTCTCTCTCTCTCTCTCTCTCTTAATAGCTTCCAAATCAAACCCTAACCACCGCTTGAGATCCATCAGCTACGAAAGCCCAATCAGTCTTGCCATGATTGAAAAACCTTACCAGAGAACACGATGAGGTAGATCTGGCTTGATTTCCTTCTCGCTCTTCATCTTCTCTCTCTCCTCTCAAAACCCGATCTACCGAATACATCTAGTGGAGGTTCTGGTGAATTAGATCTCAGAATTGGCCTTGGGATCTGCCATTAGGCTTTGAGATCGATCGGAGTATCTAGAGTTGTATTAGTTATGTTAATAGCTATAGATAGAACATCTCTCTCTCTCTCTCTTCTCTATTTCTATGTATATCTGTGTGTTAATTTTGGCTTTGTTGGATTCCAGATTTGGATATGTTGAACTCCAAATCTGCTATTCGAAACTCCAAATCTACTATTCGAAATAAGTTGATTTGCTATCTGTTGAAATCCAAATATGTTGATTTTTTTTTTTTTTTTTTGTGTGTGTGTGTGTGTGTGTGTGTGATTATCTGTGGTTATATCTCTATATGTGTATGTGGTTTTATGTTGAAATGCTTTGAACAGATAGGGTCTGTTGTTGTGGTAGATCTGGATCTGTGAATAAGGCCACCAATTTGTTTAATTGAGCAGATCTCTACTATTTTTTATTTTTTTAGTTGTTGGTGATGATGATGATAAAACAGATAGAGGATAAATTTTGAATAGGTAAGTGAGATTTGGTTCAAATTTTGAACATATATAAGACATAGCTATTCAAAATTTGAACAAATAATAATAGTTTATGCATTTTTGTGTAATATTTGAGTGTTGGTGGTAGATAAGTTCAACAGATAGAAAAATTAGTTTGTGAATTTCAAACCTATAAGAAAAATGGACTTTCAAATTTGAGTAACAAATAAGAAATTGTTATTTTAACAAATAAGAAAAATTGAACACATAGATAGAATTTAGAAAAAAATTGAACGGAGAGATAGAATTTAGGGGGAAAAATTGAATAGATAGATATAAATTTGAATAGATAGACAAAATATTTGAACAGATAGAAAAAAAAATTGAACTGATAGATATAAATTTGAACAAATAGTCAACTAAAAGTCAAACAGAGGAAAAAAAAAAGTCTAGGGATAAAATTATAAACAAAATATCCTTCAAGATTTCTTACCAAATTATTTCACAAAGTGTGAACCTTTTACCAACAAAAAATATCCATTGGACTTAATACCTTATACTCTCCGTAGATTGGATTTATCACCAATTTTCTCATTTAAAAATAAAATAAAATAATCAAAAAAAATTAAAATTAATTTCATGAATTTTTTTAAAAAATAAATAAATAAGTAGTAATAATTTTCATATGCTTTTATACTTTTTTTTTTTGAGAGTGGAACAATTTTTTAAAAAAATGAAAAATATCTTTTTAGTATTCATTATTTTTTTTAAACTACTTTCTATTCAAAAAAATCAATTGTGAAAATGAAATGAGTAACGATAGAGCGCAGTAAAATTAGAACCCTAATGCCAACTCTAGTGATGTGGCAATACGTAAAAAAATAAAAATAAATAAAATGATATAACATCACAAGCCAAAACATCAAATTATAATATAGGACTCACCTCTAGAGCTCCTTCTAAAACTCCTCATTTAGAATTCTCAAACATTTTTGAAATAGAATTAAATAAATTGACTTCTTGGAGAACCTAAGCCCTCAGTTCGTTGGTGGTGCATCATTCTCTTAAAAAAATTCATATAATTTCAATATCTTAAGTTCTATTTGAGTAATCTAAGCAGACAAACAATTATTGAATCGTGCAAAAAAATTTAGTTGCACACAATTCTTGGAGGATTGATACCTTGAGAGTAGAACGTCATTCGAGCCAGTGCAATATAGAATTTTTCCTACACAATTTCTTGGAGGATTGATATCTTGAGAGTAGATCATCATTCAACCAGTGCAATATATAGCTGCACACAATTCATTTTATGTTGTGTTTAGTTGAAAATTTTGAGAAGAGATTTGCAAAAGAAAAAAAAAATATATGTAAAATTAGATAAAATTTAAGTATATTTTATTCTTATTCTATCTATCTTTTTCCTTTCTATTTTTAAATTCTTTTCTAAATCTCCAACCAAACACAGCATTAAGAATTGATATCTTGAGACTCCGTTTGTTTTGGGAGATAGAATGGAAGGAATTGATAGTGAGGAGATTAATAATGATGAGATTGTTAATGAAGAGATTAATAGTGAGGAGATTAATAGTGAGAGGATTAATAGTGAGAAATTGTTAAATTAATTTTATATAAAACAAATAAAACAAATAAAAAAATAAATATAAAAAATTAAACATTATATTTAAAAAAAATTCCCAACATATAAAAAATAGGGGAATGTACCAGTAAATCCCAAATTAATAACTTATACACTGTTTAGTCCTAAAAGTTTTCTTATAGACTGAAAGGTCCCATTACAATGTTTCAAACATCAGATTAATGTTTCGAACATTAGATTTCGAACATCAGATTAATGTTTCGAACATTAGATTGATGTGCAAATGGGACTAAATGGAGCATAAGAAAACTTTTAAGACTAAATGGTTCAACTTTTCAGAAACTAGAACTTATGGGTAAATTTTCCTAAAAAATAAAAAAAATTCTAATCCCCTCGTTATTTTTCTAATACCATCTCTACCTCCTCCTTACCGATCCCCCTTCGAAAAAGACTACTAATACTAAGGACTTATAACCCCTCCCTATCTCTCAAAACAATCAACCTCATTAATAATACTAAAAGATTGATAATCTCAATCCCCCTGTGACCCCAAACAAACGGGGCCTGAGAGTAGAACGTCATTCAACCAGTGCAATAGCTGCATACAATTTCTTGGAGAATTGATATCTTAGTAAACGTCATTCAACCGGTGCAATATAGATTTTTTTAGCTACACAGAGCTGTCGTTTGGCAAGTAGGAGTGAATGGTGACTAACAAAAACATAAAAAATAAAATAAAATAAAATAATACATTCAAACTATAATTATTTTACATTTTAAAAAAAAATAAAAATAGAGTATCATTGGTCACGAAGAAATCTTTGCAAGCACCGAAATCCCAGATGCTCAGCACAAAACCTCTCCATTTCATGCCCACCTCTCTCTCTACATACCTCTTCTTCCATCTTCCCAACGACGTCGTCCCAATACCTCATAAACCCACACCAATTCCCATCCCAGTGAGAATCCTCTAGTCTCGCGTCTGATATGGCGTCCAAGATCTCCTGCATCCCCACGATCCGGCGGCTCACGTGCCTCCTCAGCTCCCTCACCGTCTGATCAAACCCTGGCACCGAATCCAGCCTCAGCAACAGCCCCATCAGTGCCTCGTTCATCCTGATCCTCTCCCGTGGGTCCCCCCTGATCGCGTCGACCGTCTCCTGCCGTTGGATGAGGCGCTCGAGGTTTGTCGCTTCGGAATTGACGGCGGAGATCTTCTTCACGAGGGTCCGGATTATGTAGGATCGGAACACCGACTGTATCTTAACGGCGGCGGCGGTGGCGGTGGCGGCGGCAGCGGAGGTGGACGATTGGAGTGGGATTTCGGTGGCTAGGGTTTGGGGTTGAGGATTTGGGTGGTCGTTTTGGAAAGTGTATGTGACTGTGGTGGTGGTGGTGGTACATGATGAGAAGAATCGAGGTTTGCGAGAGGATTTCATGTCTCTAGAGAGTGTGTGAGTGAGCGAGGAAAGGGAAAGGAAAGGGACAGTTAAGAAGTGAAGATTGGGATAGAGTTTCTAGAGAGCATTAGAGTCGGTTAATTGGAACAGTGAAGAAGTAGAGATTGGGATAGAGTTTCTAGAGAGCGTTAGAGTCGGTTAATTGTAGAATAAAAATGTTAGTGATTTTTATTAAATATTTTACATGAATATAATATTTATACGAGATTTACATGATGTTAGTATTATATTTATATAAGGTATTTGATAGATTTTTTTGAAATTTTTAATATTATTTTTGTGAAATAAATAAGATTTAAATATCAAATTATTTGTTAAATAAATAATTAAATGTTATATGAGGTTTTTATTTTTACAAATTTTATATTTATATGAAATGTTTAATTATTTATTCAGTAATGATAGAGACCACTTTTGTAGAGGATCCCCATAACTCCCTTGTGATCCACACCATTCATGATGTGAACCTCACACATACATGAGTAGGCCCCACACATCATGAATAGTGTAGATTAAGGGGTTGTGGGAGTTGTCCACAAGGGGGATCTGATTCATTTTTCTTATTTATTTAGTAAAAAAAAGTTATGACTAGTAAATATTTTTCTTGTGGGACCGACACCAATGGGCTTGCCTGTTTTCACAATTTAGTGGGTCCGGTCATGAACGGGCTTGATGCGGCCACAGGAGGTCTGCTAACTTTAATTTGAATATTCAGACAAAATTAATAATCATAATTTGAATATTAACGTTACAATTTTTTTTAGTTAGATTACAAATAAAAGTTTATTTTAAATATTTGTTCGATGTCATTTTATAAATTACATTTTGTTTCTTAAAATTTTTTATTTTATAATAATTTACTTTTTTTTAATGATTTTAGAAATATATTTCAATTAATAATTGAAATAATTTTATTATTGTATAAAAGAGAAATTAGAAATTTTATTTTTTAATTAATTTTGTTAAATAAAATATTCTAATAACGGAATATTTGTAATTTTTTAATAAGGGACAATTTGTATTTAAGAAAATCTTAACATATATATTTGTAATTTACTTTTTTCTTTCTTTCATATTTACGAAATTGAAATGTTATAGGAGTGGAAAATTTTGACTGACATTGAAGGCAATATTAAAAATATGGATGAATTATATTTTATCCAATTTAATTATTGTCTCGCATCACTTTACATCTTTTAACTAAAAATTGTAAGAAGGGTTCATTTGGGCTCTTTTGGCTCTTTGAGCCACAAAAGACAGAATAGGCTATTTGAGCCACAACAGACAAAACATCACATTCAACCCATAATCATTACACTCTTCTCTCACAAAAAAAGTCAAAAAAATTAAAAAGTCATCTATATATTTGCCACTTTAAAATTATAAATTTATATTATGAATGTAAATAATTTTATAAGGATCTATCTCTTTTAATAGGTGAAAAATTAACAAGTGACTTATATGTGACGTTTCGAATGAAATATTTAAAATGACATTATCAGTTTGTTTGATTTAGTTTTAAACTTTTTTGAGATTTTTTTTTTCTTATTTTTTTAGTTTTTAGTGAGCTTCTTTCATTTTTTAGTTTTTTTTTTTTTTGTTTTTTAAACTTTCTAGGTCAATCTATTCTAGATACATCTAAGAAATAAATATTTATAAAGAAAACTAAAAAAGAGTTTACTAAAGGCAAAAAAATACAAAAATATAATATTTTTTATTTTTAATTTGTACAAATATTTAATTTTGACTAAAATATGAAAAACAAAATCACTTAAATGAAAAAACAAATATGAAAAAATAAAACTGAAAATTTGTATTTTAGCTTAAAAGTCAACCAAATTTTTTTAGTTGAGGGGTTAGAGTAATATTGAGTAGTAATTCAAAGGGGAAAAAGTGTAATTTAGCCTTATAGTTGAAGGGTATTTTCGTCATTAAGATCTACATTGAAAAAAATTAATAGATGAAGAGGAGGCTTAGGGTTACAATTTTTAGTTTAATGGGATAAAGTGATATGAGACAATAGTTGATAGGATAAAATGTAATTTACCCTAAAAATGTATGTGAATTTATTTAATTTAATTGAATACATAATTAAAAAATGATTAAATGAGATTTAAGATATGTTTGGATAAATGTGAATTTTAAATTAAAGGATTTGATGTTGAATTATATAAAAAGCATTTAATTTCTCTCATGTTTACATCTCAACTTAAGGGAGCTTGAGAGTTTAGTGAGACTAATCATGGTCCCGTTTCAATGATCTAAACTGTTCATTTTATAGGGCCATCAATGCATATCATCTATGAAAAAAATTAGTTTAATCCGACAATTGTAACATTTCCATTTTTATCACATTTGTCTTCAAAAAATAGACGACAATTATATTTTTGAAAATAGACCATCTATTTTAGAGATAAATATGATAAAATAAAAATGTTACAATTATTAAATCGACATAATTTTTTGCACGGATGATATACATTAAAAACTCTACAACATGAACGGTTTAGATCATTGAAACAAGACTCGTGATGAGCTCCACGAGCTTTTCAAATTCTCTCATGTTAAGATATGAATATAAAACAAACCTAATCTTATGAAAATATTAGAGATAAACATAAAGAATAAACAGTAACACTAATTATATAATTTTTTATTAAGAATTATGAATTTATTAGAAGATCCTTTTTCAAATACTTGAATCCTAATTAGTCCATAAGATATTCTTATATTTTAATAAGTCCTATTATTTTAGACATTTGATCTACCAAATCTCAATTCTCATATTTAAGATATTTTATGGACAATTTTATCCAAGCAAATATTTTTTGAACCATTAGCAACTTGATGATATGAACATTCACATTAAATAAACAATAATGTGTGAGAGCTCTAATTTGGGAGCTCTAATACATCCTTAATGAAGTGGAGGTAGACCATGTAAGATGACAGAGCCACGTCGTCCACTCTCCCTCCTCTCTCTCTCTTATTGTTCTCTTTCATTTACAAACTTTTATTTGAGGCTTTTTTTGCCTTGTCTTTCTCTCTTCACCCTCTCTTTTTCTCTCTTTATTTTCACTCCAACAACGACAATGACTGAGAGATCTCCCTTCTCTTGCCGACCCAACGACGACGACTGATAGATCTCCTTCTCTCGTTGACCTGACTCTCTTTTTCTTCTCTTGCCACCCGACTCCCCTATCTTTTCTCTCATCGACCGACTTTCTCTCTTCCTAATGGTGGCTGACTCTAACTATTCTGACGAGACTAGCGACCGAGCTACTTCAACGAGACTAAAAATTTAGCCTAGCTTGTCTCTATGGAATGAAACAACATTCCCAAACCCTAAAAATATAAGGTTAGACAGGCTAACAAGTCGATGTCCACCCCTAGTAAAGGTGGATTGGTGGTAAAAATGATAGCATTTTAAATGGGTTTAACTGAATACGCATGTCTAACTTATGTAAACCAACTTTAATTGAGTTCTCAACGAGTAACTCATTTAAGCCCATTTATAGACTTGAATGAGTGTTAAATGAATATAATTAAGCTAATTTGTAGGTTCATGTTGAATTTTCCAGCTCTACGTGTAATTTATCCAAGTCTATTTTGCATACTTTTTGAATCATCTGAATCGCATAAATGATTAAAAAAATATCATAACACTATTTAGTAAAAATAATATTAAAATATTTAATTAATTTTTTACCAGATCACTAACTTAATTTATTTAAGGGCACTCAGGTCATAAGTCAATTTTTGAATTTTTTGGGTCATTAGGTCTAAGCTCTAATTCCTTTGGGCCGAAAGGACACAATTTATCCAAAAAGGACAACTATCTGTTAAAATTCACCAAACTAACTATTTGTTAAAATGTGACATGATGCCACTCATTCAACAACTTATCTATTAAATATTACACATTTCTCTATCTCCCCATCATCACCTGCTGCCACTAGTTGCTGTCTTCGTGAGTGACTTTTCTAACGCAACTTTTTCGGCGTGTTCTTATCACCAAATAAGATTTTACCTTGGATCTAATATTTTATACCCCCTTTAGAATGGACTTTTCACCAATATTTTCTTTATTTTTATTTAATATTTATATTACTAAGTTGTGTATCAAAAAATGATCAATCCTAATCGACTAATTTCATATAGGGTTAGGTTTCTCTCAAATTCAAATATAAGTTTGAGAGAACTTGAGGGGCCTATACGATCTACAATGAGTCTCATTTCAATTATTCAAACCATTCATTTTATAGAGCCCTTAGTATATATCATCTATGGAAAAGATTATATTGATTCAATAATTGTAATATTTTCATTTTATGGTGTTTGTATTCGAAAAAATAAATGAAAAATATATACTAAGGGCGACATTATTCTATGGTGCGTATCATATGCAAGTTGTGATATTTGTGTGATTACCACAAATGTCATAACAAGATCCTCTTAAGTCCTAACTAAAAAAACAAATGAGTCATAATCAAATATCAAATAAGGTATAATCAAAAGCCTTTTGAATCATAACTAAAATAATATCATAATCAATACTCTAATGAATCATAACTAATACCACAATAGTATTAGGGAAATAAATGATATCCCACAAGTAAATCAATCAAGGAAATAAAACTAATACGAAAAAATTAGATCAATAACGACACAAGAATTTTTACGTGGTTCCCTCAATATGAGGTACATCTAAAATACCGAAATCCGATTCCACTATCAACCAAGAGTTTTCAAATGATTACAAACGAGACACGAATGATCTCATAAATCACCTTTAGATGAATTTCAAATAATCACAAATAATAAAAAAAAAAGATCTCACCAAATAAACAAATAAATTATTTTCCAAATAGATTGTAGAAGACAAGCAAAACTTTATCAAATCTGTGACCCAAACAATCTTTGAAGCACACACCACGTGACACAAAAATCTCACCCAAGCACTAGACCAACTCACAGATTGATTGAGCAATCAAGTCTTCAAAAGCAGAGAAGAGAGCTACATGAAGCCACCTACACAAGAAGTTTTTTCACACCCACGTTGCTACTCACCAAAATTGATATATATAAAATATATCAATATTAGCAACACACAATAAATTACTTCATAAAA